TTTAACTGAGTCAAATTGCCCGGTTGACAAGATGCAATATAAATCTAAAATATACGGTTCCTTTAATCGAAGATTTATATGAGAGGTTGAATGGGACGTTTGGCTCAACCCCCTTTCAAACAGAAATTGCAGGCGGGTTTAGACAGTATTGGATAGTTTATAAAATATATTTGTCATTTTTGTGGGATAAATATAAATCTCACTCACTTCAATTACTGAAGCAAATACTACACATTTCCCATCAGAATGCAACAGGGAGGACAAGGTTATTATAATTTTGAAAATTGCTGCTTTTCAAAAGCATATTGTTTAAAAATTAATAAAAGCAGTGAATCCCGTTTAATCCAATAGTAATTTGTCAGCCTTCTGGTATCAGAATAGCCGAATATTCGAATAGCCGATTGCTCCATTTCAAGTCCAAATATTAAGCCTACCATGTGTTCACCTATTTTTACACTCTTTACTGGTATTCTATTTTTTTTCCCTATTACTAATCGATAGTTGGTTCATAAATTGTGAAATACTAAAGAGGGGTCTTAATTTATATAGATAGGTATATAAAGGGATCCGTTTGGGGGGACGGGGTATAAGAACACTGTGTTATTGTTAAAGTTGTTAAAAGTAGCTTAGTACCTTTAGTGAAGAGGTGACACCGTGACAGTATCTTGTCCTGTTCCAATTTTGGTTTGTTTCAGTACAAAGTCCTTTAAGACAACTATAAGCAACACTTTCAAAGATAGTTATATTTTTCTAAGTTCTATATTACTTTGTCACGCAAGGAAACTTTGTAAAAGGTGTTTAATGATTTAAAAGCCATATAAAAAGTGACAGCTTTTTAAGTAGATTATACAAGTAACCAATGGAAAAATACAGTGTCGGTAAGTTTCAACAATGTTAGAGGAAATAGTAGTTGTTTTATACGGACAAGTCCTTGGCTCCTTTTGTAAAACTTGTGTAATCACTTATTCTGTAAATTTTTATTGGTGAATGAGCAGGCCCTGGTCGACGGTGACCATTTGCGTTGAGGTATTGCCGCCATCACCATGGTTCTTGGCACCCCATTGGTGACGGTTGCAGTTCCATGATTACTCGTAGTAGACACAAGCAGTCATGGCCCTTGCAAGTGGCGTATTCCGTCGCACCTCGACGGAATTGGACGAGTGCAACACATATTCTTACGCTCATTCCATTGTTTATTGACTTGATTGATATTTGAATTGATTGATTGATTAATAATTGATTGATTAACAAGTAATTGACTTGATTGATATTTGAAATGATTGATTGACTGATTGATTAATAATTGATTGATTGAATTTGATTGATTATTGCATTGGTGACGTTTATGCACTTGTGACCTACCCAGTGCATGATCCGCCCGATTTGGGTCGTCACATTTGTTGTATTGATTGTTGATTGTGGGGCAGCCCTGTGGAAGCCACAGCAAATTGATCACCGCGGCCAGAAGCGCCATATTAAACAAGCAAAATAACATCCATATTGTTTGTTTGATTTATAGGGAATCTGAAATAATACCACTTATACGAACCTGGTCTCGAATAAGTGAGTTTATGTCAGTAACCCTATGTCCTTCCATTCCGGATATCTTAAGCCCTTACAGATATATAAATACATGTCCCAACCTATCAATCCGGAAAATGTAGGTCCATTTACATATACTAGTCTAATACTTAGTTGTTTCCTCCTCTTCCTTTCTTGATAAATCGATAAAACGGTAAGGTCATGGAAAATTTTGTGAAGTTGAATTGTTGCAATATTTTAATTTTCCCCACCCACCCTCCTCTTGTTTTAGAACAAATACTGCTTTTCTTGTTATGTCATTGTAGCTGAAGACTTCCTTCTTGGCCTGTGTCCACAACATCCCATGTCGCAGTGATAATTGTGTGCTCTGTGGCAACGCACTTTGAAAAAATTACGCACTTTGAAAAAAATTTTCAAAGTGCGTTAAAATTGGGACAAAATCAACGCGCTTTGAAAAATTTTTTCAAAGTGCGTTAAATTTTGGACCAACTCAACGCACTTTTAAAAAAATTTTCAAAGTGCATTAAGAGTCTACATCAATATATTTTACCATGGAGACACTTAACGCACTTTGAAAAAAAAAAATATTTTAGTCATGGAATGATTTTATTCATTTATCTTTCAAAAAACTAAGCCTAACCCTAACCTCAAATATGAATTGATTTACTCCCGTCAAAAAGAGAAGACGGGTATAAGATCCCTCAGTCCAAATCTTTATCTTTCCAATACGTATGTGTCGGTAACAAACAGGGGAGGGGAGCAATAAACCAAAAATGGGTAAGCTGCATTTTCAATGTTTATACGATGTATATATCTTTCCAAAATAAGTTGGGGGCTTATCCCCCATCCCCTCCCCTGGCCCTTCGCCCAGTCTAGATGTCTATGATATACTCAAAGCATTCATATATTATGTATTTACCTAACAGGTGTGACGTTGAAAACTTTCAATAATAAATGAGTTAATTAAAGCAGATGAAAACTAGTGCTAATTGTAACGGGACACACCTTAACATCTACTTATCGAAGACTAGAATTAAAAAAAAAGAAGAAACGAATAAATGAACTTCAACAATCGTCACTCTTTTTTTCAAGACCCTTTAATTTTCCCTTTTATTTTATCAAAACCTTAAATATTTAAAACGTCAATATCTCAGGTCCTACAGTGACTTTATCATAAAAATGTTATCAAACCAGGATCTGTTATTTATCATACCGATTATTTGAAGGAATATTTCAATCAATCTTTACAATTTTTTCAAAGTGCGTTAATATGGTCGATATTAACGCACTTTGAAAAAAAAATTATTTTTTTTCAAAGTGCGTTAGCTTGGTCCCAAATTTTAACGCACTTTGAAAATTTTTTTCAAAGTGCGTTGTAACAGTGCTCCAATATTCCTCAATGGTGCCCTGTTTGGTCCAGCGTCTTCATCAACTTGTGTTGCATTAGTGAATTCTGTATGATTGCGTATTCGTCAAAGACTGCCTGTTGGGTACAGCGTTCGCATCAACCAATGTCGCGGTGATGAGGTCTCTATTCTACCTATACCGTGATGACTACCTGTTTTGGATTCCGCATCAACCAATGTCGCGGCGATGAAGTCTCTGTTTTACCTATACCGTGATGACTGGCGGTATTGGGATACCGTCCACTTCAGCCTTGTCGTGGTTGGAATTCCTAGTGTTTGCGTATTCCGTCGCACCTCAACGCGATTGGACGAGTGCAACACATATTCTTACGCTCATTCCATTGTTTATTGACTTGATTGATATTTGAATTGATTGATTGATTAATAATTGATTGATTAACAAGTAATTGACTTGATTGATATTTGAAATGATTGATTGACTGATTGATTAATAATTGATTGATTGAATTTGATTGATTATTGCATTGGTGCCGTTTATGCACTTGTGACCTACCCAGTGCATGATCCGCCCGATTTGGGTCGTCACATTTGTTGTATTGATTGTTGATTGTGGGGCAGCCCTGTGGAAGCCACAGCAAATTGATCACCGCGGCCAGAAGCGCCATATTAAACAAGCAAAATAACATCCATATTGTTTGTTTGATTTATAGGGAATCTGAAATAAATCTAATTTCAACAATGTTAATGTTTTAACTTTCAACGCAAAAACTGCTCAAAAAGCTACAAAGAAGCAAGATTTGTGAGGAACTATTTTTTTTGTGTGTTGGAAGGATATTTACATGTAGCAGATAATTCTGCAAATCTGCACATTTGTTAAATTTAAGATCTTGGACCTTCAGCCTCACATACTTTTACTCGGAGACTATTTTCCATTATGATATTGCTAGGAATATTTAGTATTGATCTTAATTTATATTTTTAGAACAAGTTTTACACCTTCCTTCAACAAACTTTGCCAAAAAATGAAGATATGTCAAATAACTCAATGTAAAATTAATGCCATTTTTTGCCTGAAAATCACATACTGTATATCACTGACCCCAACTTTTTCTTTCATTATTTTGAAGTACTCGTTACTTGTTACTGAGCAGCACTTAGTCGTAAAAAGCTTGATTTAAGAAAATGTTTTATTGACTATTTAGTTTTTAATACACCAGAATATGTTACTTTTTAGTGCGAAAAAGTCACACAATAATTTACGCGCATTAATTTGCAAGATTTTTTCAATGATAAATATTATTCAAAATATTTTACGTAAAATAAGATAATATTTTTACATCTGATAAAATATAATAAAGGTTTAAGAATTAAAAGAGTTAAAATTTAAGTGCAAAAAGGTCTACTTTATTGTACCGTAGATCAGTAAGATGAACACTGACCCCCTATTTTCTCTGAGATTTTGAGTCACTCTATATGAGTACTCTCAATAAATCCTTGATTTAACAAATTTCACGAGTGACATACCTTAATGTGAAAAAAATCCCTGATTGTATATAAAGGTTTCTTCCCTTACTTTACACATAACAAGAATTATTACTTCATGTCAAAGTTTAAAAAATGCATTCGACTTTTGAAAATTACTTTCAAAATATTCTTCTTAATTTCTATACTTAATTAGCCAATTCCATATAAAGAAGAGATTGTACATCATGTTTTCAACTCATATAATGCTTTAGCCTGAATTTTTCAGGCTATGAACATAATATGAATTCAGAATATGAACAGAAATAGATTCGAAAAAAGTAAAGTTGTACGTTTGGGTGTAGTTTTATATTCACCTTCCTATTTGTGGTTACAAACATTTTATATTCGTAGTTACTTGTTCACCAAACCGGAAATTGACAAACTAACAAAGAAGCATGATTTAAATATTTCATTGCTCCGGGAGTAAGAAAAAAGCTTTTTATGAACCATTTATATATTTTAACGCAGTCCTTAAAACAGTGTTAGATAAATATCAACGCAAAGCAGGAGTATTTTACGTTATAACTTGGGATATTTCACAAGAGAGGATGGTTCCAATATGAACAGGGATCTCAATTAATACATTATGGACCTCGGTGTCATCAATTTTCTACTTATTTTCAGCCAGTTCCTTATCAATTCTCAACAATATGGTAGGTTTTAATATTTGTTACATGTTTAAGTCGTACGAAAACATTAAAAGCTTTACAATTCAATATTTAAGATTTATTTTTAAAAGTCAGGAAATAAACAGAACAAAAAATCATGTATAAAAGTGCAAACAATCAACTTATTTTAAGAATATCAGGAATCAGATACCATAAAGGTTGTGTTTTGAAGCATGTCAATAAAGATGAAAAAAAGAGTAGAATAAATTAAATATACAATTACTTCTAGAAAATCTTGCCAGTAGGAAACCTGTGAAGGTCAGTAGTAGATACAATTACGGATACTTTTCACCAAGTAAAGCCGTGGACGGAGACAAGAGTACATACCTACTGGAATGTGCACTGACAGCTTCCGGTCAGAAAGAGGCGTGGTTAACAGTGGATCTCGGGGAGAATAAAAATATAGCATCGATCTCAATCTTACACGGGGGCTGTAAGCATTTAGATTTACGTTACTTTACTCTTATTTCATTTGTCAAACAAAATAAATTGGTCAATGTTTTATGAATATTTATTTAGTATGCCAGGACATCGACGATAATTGGAAGCAAGGGAAGCCCATTATGCATAATTTATACTACGTTTCCTGCTGTCGTGTCCCTGGCATACTTTACTAACTTTACTTTACTTACTTGATTCGTTATATTTCCATTTCATTGTGAAATAAAATTGTAGATTAAGATTTCAAAAACGTCGACTAATAGATTTTGTTACTCCCATGTCAAACACAGAGGCAGCCGCACGAAATTTGCACGCATATCTTGCCTCCCTAGCGTCAGACACAAAGACAAACGCGCACGAGATTTACATGTGTATGAGGCCTCTTAAGTTCCTGGAGTATCGATTTGCCTGATTAACATTCGGGGAGAATTTTAACAAAGAAGCAACTCCACTTACTTTGAAAGAGTTACATTTATCACAAAGAAAACAAATAGAAATGGAAATATTTAGTTTTTGTTAGTGGACAAACTTAGCATAAATGTCACTGTGTCATAAAAAAACGAAAAGAAATGTAAAAGATTTAGGTATTTGTTTGGCATGAAATGTTTCATGATATTGCTAGGGCAGATATATAAATAAATGATGTGTATTATTATTCTATTTTTTTTTTTTTAAAAATCCTCTAAAAAAATTAATTCTATAACATTCAAAGATCTAAACATACCTATTTAATTTTCAGTTGGTCTTGATGCATCCTCATTAAGAACATCTGATTCTGGTATCTATGCTGATACAAATGGAGACGGACCAGTCTTTGCTGCCAATTCACTAAGAAGAATTTGTTTGGATAGCTTTGATGCAAAAGATGCCCAGGTCGTTTGTCTGGCTTGGGGTTTTTTACCGTGAGTATACATTTGATTATTTTTTATGACATATGACGACGTTTGATAGAATTGATTATCCTGATCATAATAATTGCAAGCTATAAAAGGGATTTTTGATTTTTGTTTTTATTCTAGTAGTTTATGTTAATTCAAAAATTCATTTCTTTTCAAACATCTTAAAGCGTATTCAAATACATGTATCTATATGAAATCTTTATGAAAAAGATACTCTGAAAATACAACTCCTGTTCATAGTATTTTTAAAGAGCAGATTATATCAACATGGTCGAATATAATGTTATTCCATACAAAAAAAAAATAGAAATAACAGAATCTTACGTACCTAACAGATTGAAAATCATTAGGGTTTATATTGATATTATTTTAGAAAGAGATCAAATGCAAAAAAATTAAAAAATGAGTTGTAGAATTAAAATGGGTATAGGGGTTGTATTGATAAATAAATAGTTAAAAGAAATAATCTATAAATTTGAAAGAAAAAAATTTAAATAAACACGTATTATTTAATTATCAAGTGATGTACAAATTACGAAAGTGTTAACTTCGAGTACAACAACAACTTGAGAATTCCTAACAAGTGTTTTTTTAACATGTGTATTTTTCAAATATAGAATATTTCTTTTAATTTGAAAAACAAATCTTTAATCCTTGCATTAGGCTCGAAGGTAAGTAATTAAATCAAACAATGTGTATTAATATTTGAAATACTTTAATTCAGATTTTTGTTTCTATTTTGAGCACGTTATATATTTCTCATTCTTCTTTTTCCCTAGGCATTTTTTTTTATAAGATAAAAATATTTTTTCATCCAGTTTTTTTTTATTAAAGAACAATAAATCTCATAATATTAAACGCCTTTCCACAGCTTGTCCTTTTTGTTTGAACCACTAAAGGAAACAGAAGAAATTGAGTTGGGTGAACATGTCATGACCAGATAAATGACAAAAGACATAAAATACACAATTACGTACACTCATGTAAATTATAGCTGGGATAAGGAAAATTGATGAATAGTTTCAACTTTGATATGATATATTATACACTTATCCACTGGTTTTGAGTGGGATAGCTTTTTTATCAAACCCGCGACAGGGAACTATTCCCAAAGGGCTTGCCAAGGGGAATAGTCCCTGTCAAGGGTTTGATGAAAGAGCTTCCCACTCTCAAACAGTGGATAAGTGTTTTATTACACTGATGTATAGTATTATTTCTGAGGATTGAATTTTTTTTGGAGTAAGATAATACTGCAAGAATAATCTGAAATCCTAATGACGGCACAATGCAGCTGAAGTCATTATGACATCATCAGTCTATAGATTTATCCTTGGAAATAAAAATCGGTGGCAAAATTTGCATTTAAATTTTCCGAGGGGTGATTAGCAAAAACTATACCCGGCGCATAACATTGCTATGCGTGGAAATTTTCAGACTATAAAAGATATTTATTTTACCTTCTAAACTTTATATAGGAACCATTTTAACAAAACTATAATACTGCGACTTATCCCAGTTACATGTACTGTTACTTAATAATTACAATGTAAGTCTGACATGAAGGTGGTGTAAACAAAGAAGCTACCGAGACGCATTCAGTCAGCCCAAAAATAGACAATTCATTGAATAACACTGTGCGGACAGACTTAATGACTCGTGTTGATGTAGGTACATATGTAGTATTATACCGGTATTCATATTAATTTTATGTTATTGCTTTAAGCATCTATCTTGTCAAATTATGTATATAAAGTATATGGTCAAACCTTTGTAACAAACATCAACAAATTAAAATATCATATAAAAGAGTTATCTGGCTAAGTAACAATATTGACGAGGAGCAGTTGCTAACCCTTTAAGATAAATAAAGATAATATAAAAACCCCCATATGCTGACCTCGTAAAACAATATTTAACAACAAATCCTACTATGGTAAGCTCATTTATACAATACAGTTTTTATAAAATGTAAGAACAAAGGTATGATAAGCTCCAACTGCCATGCAGTTTTTGAGCAGCTACATGTTTATGCTGACCTCATACACTAATTCAAAAACAAACATCTGCTTAGATTTTGACTACTGTACAGTTTTTCTGAGCAGAAAAATTCTTATCTCATGTATATAAGATTCTTATCTCATGTATATAAGCTCACAAACTGCTTACACAAGCAAATTGAAGTGTAAAATGTATGAAGCTCATGACGTGAATAGACATTAGCAGTCATATACTGATCTCATGAACAAGCTTGCACATTTCAAAGCAAAACCTTGCCAAGATCACTCACTTAATAACTGTTTTATAAGCAACTATATGATGACCTCTTAACAGTTGAAATTTCTTCTGTTCCATATTGAGCTGATGCTACAAAAAGTGTACACCTTTTTTGAGCAGCCATAAGCTGACCTAAAAACCATTCTGTAATCTTTCTTCCTAAAACAGTTATCTACTAACCTCTCTTTTTTTTGATACTCGGTGGCAGTACGTGAATAAGAGGAAACATCTAACTTTGGAATTCTTATGACCAAGTTTGGAATTTAGAACTTAAAAACATTAATTTTAATTCAACGTCTGCTTGCATTTGAGTTCAAATGACCAAGTTATTGGATGACATTTTCGAATGAACCATTCTTACCTGCTTTTGTAGCAGCAAAACTTTGACAGAGGTTAAGTGATTAGTCCAAACGTAAAAAAAAATATAGCAATTAAATGCATATATACAATGAGGAATTGTTTCACCAGATTAGAAGGTGAATAAAGTACCATATTTGTGTTAATGTCGAGTAATATATGCTTTTAAGGCATGCACTAGACAAATTTAACAATTCAGGTTATTGGTTGTCAAAGTAATTAGTTGCCAGCCTGGCGCAGTGGTTAGAGCGTCTGCTCAAGAGTCGCAAAGTAGGGTCTCAATCCTTATGTCGCGGTTGTAAATCCCATTGTGGACGTGGAGACCGGTCCTTTGAATGAGACCGTATAAACCGAGGTTCCGTGTTGCAGTAGGTGCTGACACAAAAATGACCTCTCCCTCCTCAATGGCCCTGACTGCCGATTAAGGAACAAATTTACAGCTCTCTACCGGCAAGTGGTGGCGTTTCCATATGAGTGAAAATTTCTTAAGAGGGACGTTAAGAATATTCTATCAATAAATCAATCAAGTAATCATTATTGGATGCTTAGCATAGGTGGACTGGTGACACTGATCATTCAGAAGTTTATTACGTGACTAGGATAAGTCTGCCCATAAAATATCAAACTGTTTAAAAGTCATTGCATACTTAAGCTGACATGGTGGGTAAAGTGTGATATTTATTTTTTACATTCTATTCACATGGCATGTAGATTTTTGGCGTTGTTGTTTATTTCAGTAAAGGGATTGTTTTTTGAAGCCTGAGTGTGCTGTTATAATGTTGGACATATCCCTTTTCCTTTCACTTGTCCATTATGTACATATTCTAACAATAGCGAAAACTTGAATGTGAAACGCCCCTTTCCCCTACCCCTCTGAATCAGAGTTGATGAATCGCGTTTACATTTGACTGGCACAGGTGATTAATTGGGGTAAATTGAAGACATTCTGTGTGAATCTACAAGAGAAATATGCCCTCAAAATGCATGTTGCCCGGGTATTCTATGAAATTTATCCAATTATTGCACAAATCGCAATAAAGGGTGGGAAATTTCCCGTCCTTTGTTGATAAGATGAAATTACCGCAAAGCCGAATTCTCGAAAAGTCGAATGTACAATAAATCAAACTGTTCAAATCTAATAACACGCCTTAACTGGTAAGACAGGGAAATTTCAATGGTTCGGTATATTTTTATATACAAATGTATATATAGATACATACTCATTTGATATAGATATATGTTAGTATAAATGGATTAATTCTTCATTTTAAATTGACCACAACCTCATGTTTCCGCCAATTTATATAGTTAAAAATTCGATCCAGATCAATAGATCCTGCCTTAGGGTTCTTCATGCAACATATTAATAATAACTGCAGTTTTTATCTAACTATGTCAATAACAATGTAAACAAGCTTGTATATAAAACATTTTATGAAACATAAATTCTTTATTTTTTTTAGAGACAGTCCCCTTCATTCCAAATCTATTGATTCCTCATCGGCTCCATTTTATGAAAATAAATTGAACTGTGCAGGCAATGAAGTTAACATAAATAGATGTATAAAAGGATCATATGGCTGTCCATCAGGATCAGCTGTGGCTGTTAAATGTCAAAGTAAGGAATAATGGAGTAGATGTTAAAATGTTGCTCAATCAAAGGTACTAATATATGGTATTCAAAATAAAATATCTCTGCAAAAATATGTGAATTGATATTTTTAATCTTATCATATAAATATGTGGCTGGGCTATAACTATTCTTTAGACAAATCATCATAAGGTATAATGATTCATCTTTTGTATGATTTCTCTCCAGAAGGGAACACCTTGTCTGGATTTTCTGTGTATGTATCTGATACAGAAGACTGGAGATCAGGAACTCTCTGTTATCAACATGATATACAACAAATACCTCATAATAACGTCACGGTAGACTGTGTCACTTACGGTCGCTACGTTACTGTGTACAATGCAAAAAATACAACATCATTTCCTAATGTATCCGACTTTTCGTATATAAATATATGTGAAATCGAAGTAAAAGGTAACTGTTCTCTTCTCTTGGATTGATTCATAAACGCCATGGTACTATCTGCGTTTTAAATATTCTCCATTAGATATTTTTTTTATTTTTTTCTTGTATTTTCGTTTTACTGGGCTTTATTGTGCCCCAGGCCCAACCAGCTTCCTCAACAAATTGTTAAATAAGAAAAGAAAATGATTTTTTTTTAAATAATTTCTTTTTTTCAGAAACTCAAAACTACGAAAAAGGCAATGGCATATTTTTCACGATTTTAAATGCTTGTTAAAACTCAAAGCGTTCTATTTAATGCAAAATCGTTAGTTAAATTTTGCAAGTGTACGGAATAAAAACACACTTTTCTTTAGTTTTAAAAAGTCATGATCGGTAGCAAATGTAAAGTACAGAAAAATTAGAAATAATTTAGTGATTTGAATGTTTCTTGCAATTTTTTGGTATTTATAAACCTTCTTGTTTATTTGAAACGTTGGCATCCTCAGTAAGTTATTTACTACTGTACCATGGCTTATAACATACATATAAATTCATTCATGACTTGCATACAGGTATCGACTTCACATAATGCTTTTTTAATCAGTTTTATCTCGCAATAGAAGATCAGTAAAAGTAGTTCTTTTGTTGTGAATTGCAGGATGTGACTTGGGATTTTACGGAGGAAACTGCACGTCAAAGTGTCCTCAGAATTGTTTGAATAACACATGTCACTCTCAGATAGGAGAATGTTTTGAGTGTAACGATGGATACTCTGGACAGTATTGTGAAACAGGTATATATGTAGTAAGCTACACTAGGTAGAACCATATTGCTAGGATATAATCTTCATTCAATTTCATTATCCTACTCCTAGGCTTGTTTTCTTCTTTATCAGGGTACTATATATTCCTGATACAGGATTCTGATGTAACATTATTTTTATCACATTTTGGATTTGGATAAGAACAGACAATTCATTTAAATTGTTTAAACTTTAAATTCAAAACTATCATGATTTTTTTATCACTTCTGAAAACTGCAAAAATAAAAGCGCAGAATAGTTAAGACTAGAACAAAGGGACGTGGCCTAATTTATACGGGAATTGTTTATTATGACATCACAGAAAAAGCTATGCCTCGTAATATCAAGACATGAAACAATTTGAAACTTAATACTATATTAGTATAATAAACACCATTAAAACTAATCAATACATTAAAAACAGTTGCTTGTTAAATCCCACATAGCAGTTTATAAAAAATCACTAATCGCATCGAACTTGTCGATAAAAATGACGTCTTTCACGTGCTATGAGAGGCTTACAAAGTAGTTTTTCACTGAGAAATGCATTTCAACATTAAACGGAATATTTTCCTTAGCTTGAAAATTACTGCTGCATTCTTAAAATCCAGGGTTTACTTAATGGTGACATAATATACATGGTAAAGGTCATGCATATTTTTACATGAGCCAGATTACATGAAATTTTAACAAATAAAATATGAATTCTATTGAAAGCAGCAGCACTTTCCACAAAGTGCAAAAATATAATTTTAGCTGTAACACGTCATTTGATTGGTTAAACGGTTTTATCCATTTTGAATAACATAACTTGCCTGAGGTTAACTTTTAAAATATGCGATATTTGAGAAGCTTTTTTTTCGAAGGAAAAAATGAAAAAAAAAATTGTCTCATTGTCTTCATTGAAATTGAATAATAAGGAATGAAGCTTATTTCAACCTATGTTATACGATATAACATAACTTGGGGCAGTTTACGCTTTTTTATAAACTCCTTCGCGGTTTATAATGCGTACTCTGTCCAAATTTATGTTATATCTCACAACATAAGTTGAAATAAGCTTCATTCCTTAAATAAATAGATTTATTAAAATTAATTCAGTTTTTAAAAGGTCCTGTTTTTGTCCGTCTACAAAAAAATGTATATTTCATTGATTTCACATAGAAAGCTGCGAGCTTTTACGAAAGATAAAAGAAGTAAACGCAAACATGCTTTTAACGACGTTTGATCCTTATATTTAATGTCTTCAACTCTGTTTGCCAAGTATATTTTTAATTTCTACATACATAACGTAATTAAACTTCAAATGAAAAAATGGGGGTCAATATGCTTCTTTTGGCGCTACAGTACATTTAATTTGACCTTTTTGCACTGAAATTTGTGTCTTATATTTTATCCAATCAAAGCTTGATACAAAATGAACTTTAAGTTTATTCAAAAAAGAAACTTTAAAATTGTGACTAAGAAAAAGTTCCAAATTACTTCGCAGATTCAATTCTTTGACCTTCCTGCACTAATAAAATGTGAGTAATAAAATGGGGGTATATGATGTAAATTTTCAGATATTACTAAAAAAGCGTAAATTTTAAGTTGAAATTGGCTCATTTTTCCCCTGGATTTTCAGAATATGTTTACTATATTTGTCACACTTCGTTGAAGGAATTCATAAGAAATAGTTCCATAGATATTTCAAAATCAGCATACAATGTTTCACTGCAAAAAACAGCTTTGTGTGCAACCAGCATGGAAAAAAGGAATCTAAAATTAACAGTACTGTTATAGTTCAAAAGGAAAAACATTGATCATTTCTTCTAAAAAAAACCTTCCGCCACAAAAGATAGTTCCTAGCTTAATTCTACTTGAATGGAATTTTATAGTGTTTTTTTTCATTGAATATTGTTCAGTTGGCATTATGGAATTCAGATTTATTTTTTGAACCTAAAAATCATGAAGAATTTTATAAATAAAGGACAGGATCAAAATCTGCTCAAAAGTTCAGGATCAAACCTCCTTAACTTTATATACATGTAGCCTAAAGACATGAAAAGAAACTTTTTTTTTCTTCAATAAAAATTTGTTTCAATAATAACACCTTTTCTGAAGAATTAAAACTGGATTATTATTTATTTTTCACGAAAAACTGAAGAAGACAAGCTAAAAACATTAATGTTTCTGTAGGAAGTGTTATCAAATGAAAGCGGAACTTCCATATTCATGCAGCCTTGGAGGACAGGTCACTAATTATATTTTGAATATTCCACTGTGCTGCATTATATGTCGACTGTATTTCATATTACTATGTGGTATATTTATACAAAAACGTATTTGAGAGGGGAAAACCCATATATTTTCACATGTGAAATTCATCTCGATATTTATATGTATGATTAAGTTTCATTTTTTGCAAAAATTATATCCATCCAATGTCGACTAGATCTATCTTTATGAAGTCAAACTAGTATTCAAATTTCGACATTTATGTAACATCTTTTACATAAATTGAGATATTACTGACTACAGCGATCAGGGTTTTTCTGCTTATCTATTGTCAACATGCACAATTTTATTAATCTATCTTATATGCATTGAATACTCATTTAAAGGAGAAATTCATTGAATTCTAGGGTTGTCATTATAACTTTTTGAGAAATATATTTCCTAACGTATTTTGCCCAGAATTTTCTCCCAGTTTATGGCTTTAATTTTAACTACTTCGTAGAGAGCAATTTTAAGGAATCAATAAGTTATTTCTTATATAAAATACAAAATGATAACATTTATGTGACATGCATTATTCATATCAAATATTTGTTATTTTATTGATTTCGTTATGTACGTAGTTTTAATCATACCTAGTTCTGTTTAACTCGGCTACGTCCATGTACCTAGCTTTACCAAAACCAGGCACAGTTTGGACTTTTTGGCCAATCAGCGTGCCTCCTCATCTTGTGTGATCATTGTGTATTATTTTATTAAAAGGAGAAGCACGCAAAAATTTCAAAGAAAACAAGTTTAAAATACCCTCCATACAACCCCAGAACCATCTTCTCGGTTTTCAATTACTTGCATGTGCCTGGCCCGTATGTTTTTAGATAACCTACCTTTTTTGTGTACAGGCAGGTTGTGTTTTGTATAGATTTGAGCAGTTTATTCTCATGTAATTTTAGGTTATGTTTGTTGGGGATCAGATTGCACAATGTTTATTGAAGATAAAACTTTGTAAGTTTCTCTAATCCTTTTTGATTCCTGTTATTTGTACAAATTTTATTTTTGTTATTTTATGAATAAATGACTCTTTTTTTAATTAAAAACTGTGTTACTGGTTCTGCCTGTCTGGTCAAAAAACAATCTTAGTCAACTCGGCAAGATATTTCTGCAACCAACGGAATTTAAATGTATTTGGGACGATCAGAAAAGAATGCTTACTTCTCCTAAGTACCCAAGCCACGGTCCATTATTATAATTATAATTATAATTTATAATAACGGTCCATTATTATAATTATAATATAATTTATAATAACACACAAAATGATATAAAAGTAGAAAATTCCCAATGTGTTGGTATTGTTGCAGACAGTGTATGAACTGTTCAAAGGTTGTACTTTGGAAAACCTTTACTTCATACTTTTTATGTTAAAACTTCATTCAGTGTGTTTCGATGTTATAACATGTGGTAATTTCTAAATAAAGTAAGATAAAATACGAAGAGTTTGAAATCAATTTGCAAAGATTAATTTTCTCGACTCAGAAAGCATAAAATTAAATACATTTAAAGAAGGCTGCGAAAATCGCGTATATTTATCGCACCTAAATAAATGCTAATTTTCGGAACTTAATTTTTTTTAGGAACACCCCCCCCCCCCCTAAAAAAAAATCCCCATGCAAATGCGTCTTCCTGGCTAGCACTGTGATTTTAGCTTCTTCAAATAAAATCAATTTCTTCCCCCTTGAATAAACTAGGAAATTGGGAAAAAATAACTCAATGTACTAACTTCCGTATTATATATAATTTAGAATGCCCAGCTGGTAAATATGGTCAAGGTTGTTCTTTGCATTGTGGGCCATGCATCAATAATACTCCGTGTAACCACGTGAATGGATCATGTCCTGGAGAGTGTTCTCCTGGATGGAGAGGAGATAAATGTGATCAAGGTTATCTAATTTTTATTCATATCTTATATATACTAAATACAATATTTTTTCGAAGTTAAAGTAAGATAAAAAAAACTGTATATGTCTTTTTCTGTACAAGTGCATTTATTTTTTATTATGTTGGATATTGCTGAACTATTTTGCACCAGAACCGAAGAAGTATCTTTATGAAATATCTTTTCATATAAAGCAAGCTATAGTTTAGGGAAGGGGGTCGTACCCGTAACTTTATCTGAAGTGCGGTATCACATCTTTTTGACATGCACACTTTTTTAAAGATCTGCATCAGTCAACTCGACGTGATACGGTGTCCAGTCACTTCGTACACAAACCGAGTCAATACGACTCTTCGGATCAAGTAACTGTTACATAATTCCGTAATTTAAATGCTAGTTATTCAAATGACGCTTAATTTCTTATATTCTTATTTCCTATATTTCTCATATTCTTATTGGCGCTTACTTTATTAAAGAGAAGCAATAAATTTATATTTTCTAGAATGTGATCCTGGACATTTCGGACTGATGTGTAAGGATCACTGTAGTCCACATTGTTTGGATCCCATGTCGTGTGATCACGTGAATGGGTCATGTGATGGAGGGTGTAGGGATGGCTGGATTGGATCCAGGTGTCGGAAACGTGAGTAGATATAATCCACATGTTTAAAACTTAGATCTGTATATAAAGAGAGTTAATATTCTTTTATGGGTAACCCTGAGCACCCTTGCTATTTTTTTTAATGAAGATTTTTTAAAAATATTTTATTCAATGAAAACATGATAACAATATAATTTTGGAGCAAAGACATCCGCATATGTCCCCTTATAATAACCCTCACCAAGGATGCCAGGGGCTCCCTAGACTGGATAGCAAAAATTATATACTTGAAAGGTGTAACAATCAAGTTGTATATTAACAAAATACTTAAAAAGATAGAAAATTATACCTTTATGTTGCTAGGGAAACAAAACTCTAGAGAAAATATTTTAAGGAAAAAAAATAGAGGTCTGTATAGTTAAAAGAATGTAGTGGTATTTTACAATATTATACCAGTTTGCAACATATTTCTGTAACAGTTTTAATTATAACATCTAGAAGGGAGGTAAGCTTTTCACCATCTCAGAGTCTGTTATTTTACCCCCCCCCCCCTTTCTTGCGTTCGTCCTGAGGGTCTGGTCCCCCTCAAAGACATTTAAACAATTACTTTTTTTCAATAGATTTTTAAAAAATAAAGAGTATTTTGTATCTCCCATAATATGTAATATTTCAAAATAATTCAAAATACAAGATTTTAAATAAAATAATATATTCCTATATGTGTTTCATCAATATTTTCTAATCGACAATACATTTTATATTTGTATATCTTAAAAGCTACAAATGATAACAGTAAATTATACATGACAGTGGTTTCATTTCTATCAATGTAAAAACCAAAAATTATATGTTTCCATTTTACATCAAAGCCTAAGAAATTGCTAACTATAGCCCAGATTTCTCGCACATTAGCACAATCAAAAATTAGATGCTTTGAATGTTCTACATCTTCGACACATATTTTACATGAGTAATTATACTTTTTATTTATCTTAGTTGCAAAATAATTGCTAGACAGAATATTATTTAATAGCTTATAGTTGAATTCCGCAACTTGTTTATCTTTTGATAACTCTATTTTGTTTATGTAGATTTTTTCCTAGTCTCTCTTAGGTATATTAAATTCTTAAGAATACTTTGTTTGCACAAGCGGAGTTTGAAATTTGCTTTTTAAAAATTCATTATAAAAGAATTTTGTTGTATATTTATTAAAACATAAAGTATTTAATGACACCTTAAGATGTTTATACAGAGAGAAATCATATCTTTTTCATACTTTTTAAAGATCGAGTGTATGAATTTATATTCACATAACCAATTACTCTTATTTATCAAAATCCCTGCCATTTCATCGGATGATTTTAGACCATTCTCGGAAAATAGATCTTAAACAAACAATATATTGCTTTTGAGCCAATTTTTAAAGTAGATTGTTTTTCCTTCATATGAGTATCTTAAATTTGACCATATCGGTTGTTTAAGAAAGAGTTCAACACTGAGGTTATCGTGCAATTGTTTGCATGCATTGAAACATGTAAATACTTGTTTATAAAATAGAGGCATCTTTCGTATCATTTCGAATTTTTCTATTTTATTTTCCGTGGTGTTAATCACATAGTCGATATTAATATTTATTAGAATACAATAACTATTTATGTAGCTATTAATGCAGTGATCTGTTTTTCTCAATCTACATACAGATGAGGCTTTAATCGCTCTAAACTTAGACTCATTATCAATTATCCCTAACCCACCGTCCTTAATATGACCAATCATTGTGTTTCTTTTGATAAGATCTGTTTTATTCCATATAAAATTGAATATTAGTTTATTAATATTTTTAATATAATTTTCATTGGGTGTTTCTAACATATTTGCTAGATAAATTAGTTTTGAAAGCGCTAAAGAGTTTATTACAGTACATTTCCCAAATAATGTCAGTTTTCTTCTTTTCATGATTCGAATAGAGCCTCTATTTCATGATAGACTTTCATCCAATTTTTATTATAACATTGTAGTTTATCATGACCTATATAAATGCCTAGACACTTTACTGCCTCATTTGTAACCGTAATGCTCCCTATTTCTCTAAAGAGATTTTTTCAAAGGACCAAGAAGAATACATTCAGTTTTACTTTAGAACCTGCATGAAGACAAAAATTGTTTATAGTAACCAAAGCTTGATTCAGAGATTCAATATTTTTTTATGCCACTGTCATGTCATCAGCATGTTGAAAGCCTTCTACGAGGGCCGTTCAAAAATTACGCGGACTCGGGTAATATCTTATTTTACAGACGTCAGATATAAATAAAATTTTACAATAATATATTCCTTAATGTATTTAAATAATTTATGGCATTATTTGTTATTAATTATAATTTTTTCCGAAAATATTCATGTTATAATATTGCAAAAATTGATGTACGGAGCAAGGTGAAAACGTAGAAAAAACAAATTTCAGAATCAATTTTTTTACTCATTTATTTCCGATAATTCGCGGGAAAAATCATAAATTTGTTCTGCAGTATCTTTTCATTGTTACGTCATGACTTGTTTAAATTTTTGACGTAATATTTGGAAAATTAATAGAAATATTGAAGTTTTTCTCTGAAGTCTTCGGTCCAAAAACAGCTGCAACAATGGCGTCAAGTGACGTCACGGCGCATCGGACTTTCATAAAATTTTGTGTGGCGCTCGGGAAGACTCCAACAGAGACAAAAAAGATGCTAGATCAAGCGGACATTAAACCAGCAGTATGCTGAACACTTGTCTTCAAATGGCACAAAAGATTTTCAGATGGTAGGACTTCAGTGGAAGACGATCCAGGACGGGGACGGAAGATGATCATAGACGAAAACCTGATATTAAGTGTTAAGAATGTGATTGAAAATGACCGACGTCACACAGTTCAAGAAATATCATCACTTGTTGGGATTAGTACTGGAACTGTACATACAATTTTAACTGATCATTTGAACATGAGCAGGGTTTCGGCAAGGTGGATTCCTAGATTATTGTCCGAAAATGATAAAGCCAAGCGTGTTCGATTGTCCAGGAATTTCCTTAGACGACACTCAAGTGAAGGAGACTCTTTTCTAAACAGGATTATCACAACCGATGAAACATGGCTTTTTTATTTTGACCCTGAGACAAAACAGCAATCATCTGCTTGGAAAAGAAAATCTTCTCCTCCCCCACAAAAAGCGAAAGTCCGCCAATCGTCTAGGAAAAACATGTTTATTTTCTTTATGGACATTAAAGGCATGTTACTGATCCACGTTGTCCCAGCCCACCAAACTGTCAACGCAGATTATTATTCGAAGGTCAGTTTTAAAGACGAGTAGAATAATTTACGCTAAAGATACATAAGATTTAAAAATGAGCTACATGTAAATAGGTGCATTTTAAATAACAATAATTATTTTTTAATCACGGAAATTTTTTACTCATTTAGCATATTATTAAATTTATTTATTTTTAATATTATTATCACGTTTTGGATATCGTGGTAAAGCTCAAATAAACCCATAATGAATCTGATATTTAATTTTACAGGTTATTAGACGAGATCTCCTTCAAGCCGTACGGAAAAAACGGCCAGTCAAAAACTTGGCAGATATGATCTTGCATCAAGATAATGCACCTGCACATCGAGCTGAATCAACAATTCTAGAACTTGATCTTCTTGGTCTTGAAAGAGTGGAACATGCTCCTTACAGTCCTGATTTGGCCCCAATGGACTTTAAAGTCTTCCCTACTGTAAAATCAAAGCTTCGCGGCAGGAAGTTTGAAAATATTGACGAACTGAAATATGCGACTAGATCTATAGTAGCTAACTTGGACAGGAAATGGTACAAAAATGCATACGATTAGTGGATAAGGCGACACAAACTTTGTATCAAACACAAGGGGGAGTACTTTGAAAAGATGTGAGCGCACATTTTTATGACGTTAATGACGTCGCAGATATTACGCCCGCACTGCGCCGTGACTCCAGGATATATGTTAATTCAGAACCCACTACTGATGGGAATTGGCAATATTTTGAAATGAAATTTTGCAAGTCATATAAGTAAACATATGTCAACAACATGTGTAACTTTTTATTTGTTTTTGTCGTCAAATATTTTTACTATGCAACAAGTCCGCGTAATTTTTGAACGGCCCTCGTATATTCTTGTTTTCTTTAATCTTTATAGACAAAATTTCCACAACCTAAAATATAAAGAATTGCTGATATTGAACAGCCTTGTCTGATCCCTCTTTTCATTTTACAAATTTTATCTTGCTAATTAACCAAAGGTCATTATATTTAATCGTTTAACTACAGTATGTGCCTCGACGTTCTATGGAGTTATCTGTAATCAGTCTTGTAGCAACGACTGCAGAGATAATATATGTAACCCAGAGACGGGACATTGTATTAGATGTAATGAAGGCAGATCTGGAGAGTTTTGTCAGACTGGAATTTCCACAGGTATAACAAAAAATTAAAGGATAAATAGGTTAACGTCAAGTGTTTATCTCAAATTCAAATAATTTTCTAAATATGAAAATTTCTTTGTTGTCATACTTTTCCCTAAACGTACAATATATCTGATTTACAAAGAATGGTCTCCTTCTAGGGACAAAACGAAATTCATAGAGTAACTTTAACCATTTAATGATATTTTTTACAGGCACAGAAATGCCCGCATGCCTGTTCCATGCCTTTTAGAACAGTGATTCCACTAACATAGTAAAAGTTCCATCTATGAATTAAAAATCTTTTTTCTCCCTTTTGTACAGAAACAACCATTACGAACAGCATATTCCTTCTGGCAGTCTCATTACTATCTATGGTCATAATCTTGTTGGTTATAGCACCCTTTCTCTGTTTCCTGAGAACAAAATGCCGACCGTCTTATTCCAGGAATTCAGATCCAGGCTACGAAAGTACTGTGGCCAGAAAAGAAGACAAATCCGAGTATGCTCATATTCACGACCCAATGCCCAGTAATAATACAGGAATCGATGTTTCTCACTATATGGAAATAACAAAAACTGATGTCAAATCTAGAACAGAGTACATTAATCTTGGTTAATTAAATCATTTGCAATATGTATGTATACTGGTTAATACAAAACACAACTTTGCTTTTTTAAAGTTATGATTTATGAACTATTCGTAACATTTTTTCTTTCGTATAAATAATCACATAAAAAATATTTTTAAATAGTTAAAAAAAATCTATGAATAAGTTTACGGAATAAATACTGTAATACCAAAAGAGATTGTATCAGATAATCTTCATTTGATTGCATTTTGACTTGGAAAAAAACTTATTAACCATGGGTTTGTACATGTAAACTTTCTATGTATACCATAAAGAGTAAATATTCTTTTATGAAAGATAAGCTCATATCAATTATTTAGTACTTTTATGGTCATTTATACGGTTTATTTAATTGCTTCAAATATGTACAGGGAGCTTGAAAACATTTAAATTATTTGTTAAATAATTCCTTAGTTGTTATAATTAGAACTTGTTACAAATCCAATTTTATTAATTATACAAGAAAGTATGTTCAGAATAAAACTTTCAAAACATCAAATTATGGAAACTTGAAAACTTTCTGTTACATGGTTACAAACCATTGATTTCTATATTCCTTCAACTTTCTTTTCCTTACTTTTTGCCAAATCGTCATTGAAAAAAATTGAAAATCATTCATCCAGTGAAAAAAATAACCGACCTTTACCAAATCCGTATTAAATATTGTTTTATTCGAGGGTTTATGAAAAAGATCATTGACTGATGTAATATTTAGTCTATGAGTGTAAAAATCACGAGGAAGACCAAACAATGGACATTATCATGAATTATCATGAATGTTGTATGACAAATTAACATTTATAATGTCAAACTTACTGGTCCATCACAGTTGAAACCGGAGGAAGGGGACTAAAGATTTTGTTCACGTTCGTCTAGCTGTTCTTGTGTATGTCTGTCAGTCTGTCTGACTTGGTTTTATGCACTTTTTTTCCTAATATTTTTTTTCAGCAAATGAACTTAACTTCAAGGATGTGACCGAATCTTAATGAACTAAAGATAACATTTGCATTTCGTCCGCTTTAATTATTTTGAAGGAATCATGTCATTTTTTTTAAAGGATTTTTTTACTGTTTTTAAATGCCATGTTCACAACCCTTATATTTGTGCATGTCTATATTCCGTTGATTTCCTCACCGTGTTTATAGACCTCTGTCTCTCAAAAAGTTTGTTAACCTTTCTCTGTTTGAGGAAATATTGTGAAAATGCGGGTAATTTGCATGAGGATAGATAATAAAAAAACCAATTTCCTGGTATATGACTTAAGATGAAAGAGATAATAGTATGTAAAAATCAAATTGATATCTTTATTTCCTTATTTCTTCTCTGAGTTGAGAGTTAGTAATGCGTCAAAAAAACTTTTGCATCTTCTCTAATGTAAAGGAAATAAATCACAAGATTTAAAAAAAGTACGCACAATCCTTTTGTAAAACATATCATTGAAATGTAAGATATTCTAAAAACTGTTAAGAAACTTATCATAAATTGGGTGACTACTTTCATATCAATGTTGTCGTTTGAGAAGAATAAATAATCATTCTAAAAAGGTTTCTTTGTAACAGAAATTGTGAAATATAAGAGGGGAAAACATTTCAAACACGGTTCAGTCTTGAAAATAATCAAGCAAAAATAAGAAAAAAATGAAGAAGACATAAAACCAGTATCAAAGAAGAAAAGGACGAGATGAGATATAGTGCGTACATGTAGTAGGACAAAATATCTACTGTCTACCTGTACAGCTTTACACACCATGAGTCCTGCCCATGATCGAGTAAAAAGATTTTTAAGTGATAAGAATTCATTGCAAAATGTTTTCATTCCCATTCTAGATCTATTACATGTAGTTTCTTATTTTTCCTATAACGCGAACATGTAATGGGGCGTATGAATGCCATTTTATACTTTTTTTTTCATTTGGTGCCTCCTAATTCTGTCTGTCTGTATTTTTCTGCCTTGGTCATTATTCATAAACGGGCTTAAATTTCTTCCTTCTTATGTGTATTTTAAGCAATAAGGCTTTCTCTTTTATACAACACCTTTTCTTTAATTTTGACTTTGACATTGGAAATTTAGCTACTCTAACAAGACTTTTTTCTATCAGTACTACCATTTTTTTAGTTTTTGAGTTACTCAGGTGACCTATTGCTGTCCGTTTTCGTCCGTCGTCGTCCGTCGTGCGTCGTGCGTCGTGTGTCGTGTGTTAACATTTAAACATTTTCAGCTTCTTCTCTGAAACCACTGAAGCAATTTCAACCAAATATTTTATACAGTATCTATGGATAAAGGGAAACAAAAATTGTGAATTTCATGGTCCCCGAACCCCTGGGGCCTGAGGGGTGGGGCCAAAACCACTAAAATTAGTGCAATCTTTAAAAATCTTCTTCTTTACTCCTGGACATCAAGCAGGCAAACTGTTGACATAAATGTAAAGAGCATTGAGTCCTCTACCAAAATTGTGAAATTCATGGCCCCAGGATCAGGGGTTCTAGTGCTAGGGCGGGGCTATATAGATTATATAGTGAAAATGCATTATTTCTTTTAAAATTTTCTTCTCTACTCCTGGGTATTATATAAACTAACTAAGTACATAGTTATGATGACAAGGGTACCTCTTCCAGATTTGTGAATTTTATGGCCCCAGGGTCAGGGGTTCTGGTGTTAGGGCGGGGCTCTATTGATTATATAGTGAAAATGCATTTATTCTTTGAAAATCTTCCTCTCTGCTTCTGGGTATTAAATAAACTAACTAAGCACATAGTTCTGATGAGCAAGAGTGCCTCTTCCAGATTTGTGAATTTTATGGCCCCAGGGTCAGGGGTTCTGGTGTTAGGGCGGGGCTCTATTGATTATATAGTGAAAATGCATTTATTCTTTGAAATTCTTCTTCTCTGCTTCTGAGTATTAAATAAACTAACCAAGCACATAGTTATGATGACCAAGAGTGCCTCTTCCAGATTTGTGAATAATATGGCCCCAGGATTAGGTATCCTTGTGTTAGGGCGGGACTCTATGGATCATATACTGAAAATGCATTTATTCTTTGAAAATCTTCTTCTCTGCTTCTGGGTATTAAATAAACCAACTGAGCACCCTTTGCCCCCTTGGTCAGAGGAGCGGGGGGGGGGGGGGGCTACATAGTCTGAAAATAAATTAATGCTTTTAAATCTGCTCTTTGGTATTAATCAACCATTTTGTTTTAAAATTTGCAAAATTTTGAAATATGTGGCCCCTGGGTCAGTGGTTCCTTTGGGGGTGAGGTGCACAACTGGGTATAAAGTGGAAGTGCATTTTCTCTTTGTTACTCTGATCTACCTCTTGGTATTAAGTAAATAGAGTAAGCATGCTAAGTAAATAATTATGATAAGCAATGGTGCCTCTTTCAAAATTGTGAATGGTGAATTTCATGGCCTCTGCTTTAAACCAAATTCAAGTGTTTGAAAGCTTTTACACAATACTCAGGTGACCTATAAGGCCCGTGGGCCTCTTATTATTTGATGTTGACTTTGTTTCTTGTGCTTCAAAACAATCAAACACAATTAAATATGTGGAGATCATAACCAGTATTCGATTCAAATGTCCATTAAACAATAAAAAATAGGAGCAAAGCAAACACGGACCTCCAAAACATCAGAGGTGGGATTAAGTGCCATGGAGGAGTGAGCATCCCCTGCACACGGTCATACTCACTTTGTGCAGACTAGTGCTCTTTGAATTGTCTCGATGTCATGAAGATATAGTTTGCAGACATCGAGCTTGCAAGATAAATGCACTCTGATGTTTTCCGATGTAGACCAAGTCGTGAAGTGTTTGTTAAATTTTGTTACATTACGAACATAAATTGTTCACGCTAAAAATAAATATGTAATAGGTTTAAGAATAATAACTGCATTGGTTTTTTATCATAAGCACTTTTTATCATAAAAATAATCTGATGTGCTTATTATACCTACACTTAAGATGATGCATAAGCATCGTCACAGGTGGGCTAGGATGAGGAAGGTATTTAACGGGCCGTATAGTATGAAGTTGGTTCAAATGTGATTTTTTTCCCATCTTACTTTTTGCTATCATTTCTACATTACGTGATGTAATAAAAATAAACATATACTCAACTATTTTCAGGACCGAAATGGAAAATGTTATCTGAGCTCCATTTTAATATGTATTTTCTTTTTTTAAAAGTAACTTAATGCATTGAGAAAATGTAATACAACTATCAATAATTGATAGGGCTAAGCCATACACAGGACCAGTTATAGCACATGTATCAACTAATTATACTGGGTTTTTTTCTATGTGACTAGTATAATAATAGAATGGTGAAACTGTGTGTAGAAAATGAGCAACGTGCAAGGGCTAACGCTTGTTTTTGAACAGAAAAATGATTAAAATTAGAAATTT